CCACAATTAAAGTCATTAAATCAATTAAATCATTTAAATTGAAATCATTAAAGTCTTGTGTCGAAGGCTTTTTAAATTTTAGTCGTATATTAATTTAAAATATTATTTTTTACAGGCTTTATTTTTGAAATGGAATAAGATCATTCTAAATTTCAGAATTAATACCCATCAAAATGAGTGGAAGAAGGCAATAAAAAAATAACAATGGAAAAGAGAGGTAACAAAGCGTAAACGAAATAACTCCAGTTTGTTCAACTTAGGAAACTCAGCATTGCAGCCAAAATATTCTAAAATGCTGCCAATAAAACAGGAGAAAATGAAAAATACCTAACAAGAAATTGAATTTAGCATCAAAATTTCTTTTATTTTTATTTATTTCTTAGGTAACTAATTACATAAATGTCATCAATGTTTCTGTAAAACTTACTATTTCCTGTATTAAATTATTAATAAATATTATTATTGTTATTATTTTACTTAAGTATAAAGTAGTCGTACATTTACAATTCCTCACGGCTAACCATGAAAAGAAATGTTGATCAAAACTTACTTAAAACCTTTAAGTGCACTATTTACATTATTCAGACTATTGTCCTCATCTTTGTCGCCATATTTATTACAACGTTTCCGCCATTGTACGCTCCGGCCTTCTTCAAGTGGTTGGAATTGTCGAACTAAACCCTTTATTTCGCTCACTGGGGTAGACTGTTCTAGTTATACGTGCCATGTCTAATGGATGATGGTTATCAGTTATCTCCTATTAATTCCCTTCTCAAAGTTCTCCACTGCCTTAACCAGGTATTGAACTCACACTCTTTGGGTCCTGTCACTGGATCTAACCAACGCCTTTATCCACTGAGTCCTCAAGGACATTATCAAATATTGAACACGAATTCATCATTTAATTGTTGGATTTTTTTGTTACAGTTATTTTGGCCTTTTCTGGGTTATTTCCCTTTAATAACTCAACTCTTCAATTTTTTGTTCACCTCTCATGTGGCCAGGTATTGAAATCACAACTCTTTGAGTCAAGTCAATGGATTACTTCAACCAACGCTTTTATTCACTGGGTCATGTTGTCCTTGGGGATAGTACGTGGAACTAGAACAATCTACTGCGGTGGACGACATAAATGGTTCGAAACAAAATTCTAACGTATATCATCTGACGATGGCCGGAGAATACAACGGTCGAAACGCTGTGGATATGACGATAAAGTTGAGAACAACATTCCTAACTATGTAAACAGTGTAAATAGTTAAAATACCTCATCTCAGAGATATAGACAAATCCTGGAAAAGGCCGGAGCGTACAACGCTCAAAACGTCGTGAATATGACAATAAACGTAAGAACAACGGTCCGAACGGTTTAAATAGCTACAATACCACATGTCAGAAATATAGACAAATCCTGTAGAAGGTCGCGACTTACAACGCCCGAAACCTCGTGAATATGACAATAAAGATGAGAACAACAGTCCGAACAATGTAAATAGTGTAAATAACTTGTTTTAATTCATAACTAATTATTAAATAAATAAACTGAAGCATACGTCAATAAAGAACATTTTCAATAGAATGCCAGGTTATTGTAATTCAATTTTATTCCAGTGAAGATTATAGTCATGGGCTCCAAATTCTGTAATTTAAATAAAAAAACAATAAAAGTAAAAGATCCCTACTATGAAACCCTGAAATTCCTACCTGTGACCGGAGATTCCTCCCCGATTGAGAACTTCTTTAGTAACGACTATGAGTGTATAGCGCCGGATGGAGGAGATGGACAGAGCATCACCACGCCAGGTGTTGCAGCTGTGGATTTTGTAGCTAGTATTTTTTTACGCGTTGGATATATCAGATGTCAACCGGTTTTGAATACTAAATTGTCCTTCTCCTAGAGTGGTTGCCAATCATGGTTAGAACACCAGTTCTGTTATTAAATTACAAGAGAGAAGAGAAGAGTTGTGTTCATGCCTTTTCCAAAGATATTTGAGCAAAAGTGAACGCAACAACCTAGGCTGGAATTCGAACTCGGCACCTCAATCCCGCGCCGAAAACCACTATACAATTATAACGGAAGGCGGGGATGGAAAGTAAGACATGCTTTCTGACCATCAAGTCCTAATTAACCTACATATCTATTACATAAGTCTCCAGTCTAAAGTACTTCCTATGCGCAACTACTGCACTACGGTAGGCGCCGTTGATAGATATTTTAAAAACTTTACTGCCAGAACTGTAGTTCTATACAAAACGATTTATTTGGATTACAGAAACGCTTAGTGGGAATCAAAATCTACCTTTTTTTTTCGGCGTGACCACAGAATTCCTTGTTTTTATTTTTTTAATTCTTTTTTATTTTTTTTTCAACTTTCGTAGTTGAGGGCTCAGCGGAGAGTAGCAAGGAAAGAAATGTGTTGACTGACCATCAGGTCGCAATTAACCCATATATATATATATATATATATATATATATATATATATATATATATATATATATATATATACTTGTTAAGTATTCAGCTTAAAGTGCTTCCTCTGTGCAAGATTCCAGTGATGAAGATATGTTTCTTTCCCGAATATTTACGCGAATATAATCAACTATTCTTTTTTCTTGTCACCTCTGCCCCAGCGCTCTCTCTCTCTCTCTCACTCTCTCTCTAACATATCCTCTCTTTTTCTCTCACTATTCTCATTCCTTCGTACCTCTCTCTACGTCGCTCGTATTTTCTGTCTCTTTCATACTCTCTCTCTCTCTCTTTCTAGCACACCCTGTGTGTGTGCGTGTGTGTGTAAAAATATATAGAAAATAGGAAAGAACTCGTTAGGTAAATAATCCAAAGTTCTTTAGTATTTTTGTTATTATTTTTAAAAAATATCGGTCTGTTCGAATCCCGGTGTCGTATTTTCCATCCTCTGTTAAAAATCAGTCTCTAGTCTTCTCCTCATCCGTGGTGAGATTGACAAACATTCACTGCATTCCGAGGATGAATATCACATAGCAATCCAGCTCTCTTTTCTTTGTTTCTAACGAGATTTTTCTGTTCCTCGACACTTTGCATAGCTTTTGGAATGCTTCTTTCGCCAGACCAATGCCTGTTCGGATTTCGGTGTCGTATTTTCCATCCTCTGTTAAAAATCAGTCTCTAGTCTTCTCCTCATCCGTGGTGAGATTGACCAACATTCACTGCCATATAAGAGGATGGATATCACATAGCAATCCAGCTCTCTTTTCTTTGTTTGGAATGCTTCTTTCGCCAGACCAATGCCTCTTCGGATGCAATATATACTAATATAACATCCGAAACAAAAAAAAAAATACTGAATATTATTATCATTATTATTATTAATAATAATAACAATAATAATAAAAAGAAAATTATGTTAGTCCAAAATGCAGATTCTGTGATAAATATCCGGGAACAATTGATCATCTTGTATCAGGTTGCAAGGTACTGACACCCACTGAATGCAAAACATTAATTCACATAAGGTCGTCAGACTCGGTGTCTTTCCCTATCACTCTTGCACTCACTATGCTGTGTTAGGGTTAAGTTTTCCAAGGCCTCCTTCCTCGTTATGGGTCTGATGAATCCGTGGTGAGATTGACCAACATTCACTGCATTACGAGGATGGATATCACATAGCAATCCAGCTCTTTTTTCTTTGTTTCTAACGACGTTTTTCCGTTCCTCGACACATTGCATAGCTTTTGGAATGCATCTTTCGCCAGACCAATGCCTGTTCGAATCTCGGTGTCGTATTTTCCATCCTCTGTTAAAAAAGCTTCCAAGATATTTGAACTTCTGCACCTGCTTGATGTTTATATCTCCAATTCGTAACTCTCATCTCGTTCTTTTTCTCTTGCTGAGGACCGTACTTTCTGTCTTCTTTCAATTGATAATTAGTCCTTTTTCCTCGCTTTTTTTTTCTATTAACCTGTCTAAAAGTTATTGTAGTTTTCTTTCCGAGTCGGCCATCAACACAGTGTCATCTGAATATCTTTTATCGTTAAGATTACGCCCACCGATAATAAATCCTGGCAGGACCCCAGTTCCCTTACGATAGCGTCAAGTTTAGGAAATACTGACTTCTTAGACCAGCTCACTTATAAAGGGTGTTCCAATAACTTGGACCAATTTTAAATGTGAATTAAGTTTAAGCGTCTAATGATTTTTTTCTTTTTCTTTCAGATTTGGCGGACATTTGGGCGATATTATTTTTCACACATAATTGCCATGATTTAAATAAAATTGATCCAATAGAGAAATAAATACATTCTCATCAATAACACTGATTTATTTACTGATGGCTTTGATCCGTCTTAATGAAACACCCTTTTGAAAATCGGTAATTATCATTCCGAAAATATTTTATGTTATTTTGTGAAATTCGTCTCTCTCATGTAAAAACAGCGTATTTTCCCCTACCAATTGAACCAAATCAGATATTACGCAGCTGCCAATCACGGAGGGGTCCAATTTTCAGCCCTTTTCACAACGATTGGTATTGGACTCGAAATGAGCTTTTAGAAATCTGTAGTCAGTGTGGTTACCGGTTTAAAAGAGGTTTTGTTTTTAAGATCAGAGTTGTCTACTCTTGAATATTTGACCAATGTATAATAAGATATAAAAATTGACATTTCTTCTTTAATCTTCCTTTCTCTTTTTCTTGTATTCAATTCTTGCATTCGTGTTTTCAACTCATGTTTTCCTTTCTGTTTCTGTTGTGTATTTTTAAAAATGGTGTTCACTTTCTTTCTTTCTTTATCACTTTCTTTCTTTCTAGTCATTTTCTTTCTTTCTTTCTTTTGCATTTTCTTTCTTTCTTTTTAACTTTCGTTTGTTTTAACCATTACTTTCTTTTAACACTGCTTTCTTTCTTTCTTCCTTGAATACTTTTCTTTTTTCTTTCATTGTCTCTTTCTTCCGTTTTACCTATTTTATTCTTTTGTTTATCATTATTAATTTAATTTTTCCTTAAACTTTTTTCATGATAAGCATTACTTTCTTTCTGTTTTTTATTTTAACTAATTCTTTCTTTCTTTCTTTCTTTCTTTCTTTCTTTCTTTCTTTCTTTCTGCTTAACTTCTCCTTCTTTCTTTCTTTCTTCCTGTTTAACATTTCCTTCTTTCTTTCTTTCTTTCTTTCTTTTTAACATTTCTTTCTTTCTTTC